AATAAGTCAACTCATTTGTTCCATCTTCTGCCAAGTTGCGCAAGAAATGATACCTCACATGTATATGCTTGCTTCTCCCATGTAGAACTGGATTTCTAGAAAGCTTGATAACTGAACTGTTATCACAATAAATTGAAGTGGCTTCATGTTGATTCAGCTCAAGTTCTTCTAGAACTTTTCTCAATCAAATAGCTTGACAAGCACAAGAAATCGATGCCACATACTCTGCTTCTGTTGTGGACAAAGTCACAATGGGCTGTTTCTTTGAAGACCGTGAAACTGCCCCAAATCCCAACATAAAAACAAACCCATAAGTGCTTTTTCTGTCATCCAAATCTCTAGCATAATCACCATATGTAAAGCTTACAAGATCTATTTGGTCACCCTTCTTGAAGAATAGTCCAAAATCTACAACTGCACGTAAATACTTGAGAATTCTTTTGGCAGTCTACAAGTGCAACTCCTTTGGATGCTTCATATGTCTGCTAATCAAACTTATACCATGCATTATGTTTGGTCTTGTTACTGTTAGATACATCAAACTTCCAACAATCTACTTATACAGTTTATTGTCCATAGATTTGCCACCTGGATCTTTTATGAGCTTTACACCTTTGTCAATTGGTGTAGTGACAGACTTGTAGTTCTTCATCTGAAATTTGTCTAGAACTTCCTGCACATATTTTTTTTGACAAACAAAAATTTCAAAATCTAACTGTACTACTTCCAGACCAAGAAAATAATGCAACAAACCTAGATCTGTCATATCAAACTCAAGTTTCATGGACTGCTTGAACTTTTCCAACATGCTAAGATCATTCCCAATATAAATTAAATCATCAACATATAAGCATGCAATAATTAATTTACCTCCATTTCCAAATTTGATGTAAAGTGTATGCTCGTAAAGGCATTTTTGAAAACCTTCCTTCAAGAAATAAGCATCTATTTGACTATAGCAAGCTCTATGTGCTTGTTTTAGTCCATATAATGGCTTTTTCAATTTGTAAACCTTATGCTCAAAACCAGATTTCACATAACCCGAAGGTTGATCAATAAATACTTGTTCTTGTAGATTTCCATGCAAGAAGGCTGATTTCACATCAAGCTGGTAGATCGGCCATGAGTTTTGTGCTGCCAAAGTAATCACCAATCTGATGGTATCCATCCTTGCAACTGGAGAAAAAGCTTCTTGATAATCAATACCAAACTCTTGCTTGTAACCCTTTGCCACCAAGCGAGCTTTGAATTTGTCAACCTTCCCATTCTTTTTGAGTTTTGTCTTGTAGATCCACTTAACACCACTAGTCTTGTGCCCTTCTAGAAAATCTGTCAACTCCCAAGTCTGGTTCCTTTCAATAGAACCAATTTCTTCTGCCATGGCTTTTTGCCACTTTTCTTCTTTAACGACCTCTTCATATGTTAATGGATCACAATTTGCAAATAGGGCAAAATGAGTGACTGGAACATCATTTTGAGGTAGATCTGTTACCTCATAATCCTCTAACCATGTTGGTCTTCTCTTCTTGTATTGAGGTCTGGAACTAGTTCCAAATTCCAGTTCTGGTGTTGTTGGCAAACTTCCTCCAGTACTAAGTTCTACTGCTACAAGTAGACTTTTTTCAGCTATTTGTCTTGAAACTTTGAGATCTGCTGAAGTTAAACCTCCGGTTTGCTGTGTTTGACCTTCTGAGTTCTGTACAGTCATATCTTTTCCATTTTCGAAATTTTCAGGAATCTGTTGTCCAAATTTTTCTGTCCAAGACCAAGTGCTTGCTTCATCAAATACTACATCATGGCTAATGATGACCTTCTTGGTTAAAGGATTGTACAATTTATAAGTTTTGGACTGATCACTAACACTAAGGAAAATACACTTTTCCCCTTTGTCATCAAGCTTACTCTTTTTCTGATCTTACACATGTGCATATGCTATGCACCCAAAAATTCTGAAGTAATCAATAGCAGGTTTGTGTCCACTCCAAGCCTCTTCTGGCATCATATCTGGAAGTGGAGATGTGGGACTTCTGTTCAAGATATGAACACCCCAATTAATAGCTTCTGGCCAAAACTCCTTAGGCAAGGTGCTCTTTGACATCAGACTTCATACCGTATTCATGATTATGCGATTCCTTCTCTCATATACACCATTTTACTAAAGTGTATATGCTGCTGTGAGTTGTCTTTTAATGCCATTAGACTCACAAAAATTTGCAAACTCCTTTGAGTTAAATTCACCACCACAATCTGTACGCAGAACCTTTACAGATCTGCTAGCCTTATTTTTAGCCAAGACTTTGAAATTTTTAAAGGTCGCTAAGGCTTCTGACTTAGTTTGCAAAAAATACACCCATGTTTTGCAATTGTAATCATCAATAAAGGTAATAAAGTATTGTTTACCTCCACTGGATGTTGGATTTATGGATCCACACAGATAAGAATGAACCAAATCTAGCACCCGCTTTACTCTCCAAGATTTATTTTTAGGAAAGTTGTCACGGTGTTGTTTACTAACCATGCAGATTTCACAAATTTCTGAAGGTGAATCAAAATGAGGAAGACCATTTACCATCTTCTTCTGCTGCAAGGCCTTCAACCCACCAAAATATAGATGTCCATATCAACAATGCCATAACCAAGCTGTGTCCTTCAATCTAGCAGATAAACATGACAGATTTATGGTCTGCAAGTATAATGGAAACAACCTATTTCTTGTCATGTTGACCTTTGCAATCAAGCCAAGCTTTGCATCACGAACTTAGCAAACTCCACCGTTAATTAGGATTTCATATCCTTTCTCCTGAAGATGTCCCAGACTAAGCAGATTCGACTTCAAATCTTGTACATATAAAACATTAGCAATAGTTTGAATTAAATTGTCTTTAGCATTAATGGTTACCTTTCCCCTTCCCTTCACTGCAATAGTGGAATTATCACCAAATTTCACCTTGTCTTGACAAGACTCATCCAAATCTGAAAATGTAAATTTGTCTCCACACATGGTTGATGCAGCCAGTATCCAGATACCACACATTCTTCTTGCTAACTTCTTCAGGATGACAGACCATGAATAAAGAAGAATCATTATCCTTCTTATTGCGTTCTGCAAAATTTGAACTTTTTCCTTTATTTAGATTAGCAGGGCACTCAAAACGATAATGGTCATACTTATGACATTTGAAGCATTTAACATTTGCCTTGTCTGCAGATTTGGATATGTTATTTGTAGCTTAATAATTTATGTTCTGCCACCTCTTCTGATTCCCAGTGGTTGAACTTTCCTCCAATCTGTTAGATCTCGGTCTGCCAGTTCTCAGTCTGCCAGATCTTGGTCTGCCTTTCCAATTTTCTTTTTCTCAACCTACAGCCCTTGAATTAACTATGGTCTACAAGGCTTGTGTATGCGAAATCTGCACTGCTTGCTCTTACTTGTCTTGACGGTTTATCTTCCACTCATGAATTAACAACAAGTTTTGCAACTCATCAAGAGAAAGAGCCTCAATATCATTTGACTCCTCAATTGAACAAACAACATAATTGAATTTTGTTGTCATAAACCGAAGGATTTTCTCAACTATGACAACATCCTCCAGATTTTCACCATGGATCCTCATTTTGTTTGCAATTGCCATCATCCTTGAAAAATAATCATCTACAAATTCACCAATCTGCATTTATAGACTTTCAAATTATGCCCGCAAAGCCTGGCGTTGCTGCCATTTCGCTCTTTCATTCCCCTGGTACTTCTTCTTCATGGAATCCCAAATAGTCTTGGAAGTAGACTTGTTAAGAATTGTTTCCAAGATAGCCCGATCAATGGCTTGGAACAAATAATTCTTAGCCTTGAGATCCTTCAACTTTTCCTTCTCAATTTCTGCTCTATGTGCATCATTTGCACTTGCCGCTGGTTTTGGAACTCCAGCTTCAACAACAGTCTAATACTCTTTGGATCGGAGAAAATTCTCCATCAACATACTCCAATGGTCATAGTGATGACCATCAAAATGAGAGATTGAGAGCTGGACATAATTTTCGAAAGCCATGGAATCTACCGAGAATAGGCTCTAATACCAAATGTTAAAAATTAAGAATTCCTGAGAAGAAGAAGATGGAATGAAAATCCAAATCTCATTAAACTGAAAATAAACTAGCCTTTAAATAGGTTTTACAAGATAACATTATCTAAAAAGATAATTAACCAATTTTATATAATCTAATTTAAATTATAACAACCTAAAACAAATAAGTAACTTAAATTTCCTAAATTACAGAGATAATGGCTAAATATTAAAATCTAATTTCCAATAGGCTGGTGTAATCTATTGATTGAATGTTTACTTATTTATAGATCAAGAGCCTCTTATTTAATGGTTGTTCCTTTAATGGTTGTTCCTTCAATTGTTGTACAGATTTTTGAATTGATCCCTAAACTAAAAAAATTCTTAATTTAATTCCTAAAGTTTTCAAATTTAACCTTAAATTGATCCTTCTATTAAAAAATAATTAACATGTCTATTATTTAATGACAGAAAACCATTACTTAACAGTTATATATCACGTTAATAACAAGACATGTTAACTATTTTTCTACAAAAGGACTTAACATCAAATTTAAAAATTTTAAAGACTAAATTAAGAATTTTTTTAGTTTAGAAATCAAATTTCGAGATCTATATAATAGTCGAGAAACTAAATTGAGGATTTAACCTTATTTAATTAATGTGTAAAGCAATTTCATACGTGTGTATTGCAAAAAAAAAAGAAGAAAAAAGAAAAAAAGGATGCATCAAGAGTTCTTTGTTTATCTATTATTAATTGGGACATGAAAAAGAAGAAATTGAAAGGCATATTATTGTCCGCCAAAACTGGGATTTTTCCCGAATTATGCAAACAAAAGCAAGCATATATTCCTATAGGATTCAAATGCCCCTTATCTTCATATGAGACATCTTTAATCCTGGCCACTTTAGACCTGTTTTTCAGGGCCTTCCCACACTTACATTTTTCCTTTTGAATTTCACTATGAATCCTAACCTCCATCATAAAATCAGCTTTTAATTAATCAATTAATTTATTAAACAATAAAATAAGAATTGATGGCTGTAATCTTTATATATATATAAACAACTGTTTCTCCTGAAAATCTCTTCACCATATCTTTTCTTAAAAATGAAAACAAAATATTAATTTTTACATAAATAAACTTTTAAAAAAATAATATTGAAATTTGAGTTTGGTCTTACATAAAAATGTATGGTGTAAACGTTTTTATAATGCAACAGATGCGATTTCGAATCATGTCAAAGCATAATGCATCCAACGTGGATTCCAATCGGTGCCCAAAAGTGGGCAAGTGGATTTGGACACCATTTGGAATATTTTAACATTCCTTCTCAACCATGGACGTACAAGATGGCACCTTGGAATCCAATTTACTCCCAATAATTGTATGGTCTTCACAGGCTACAAAATGTATATAAAATTAATTTGTTAGTTAGAAAAGTAACATGCGCTCTACCTTGATATTAGGTATTTTTTCTATATTAATAATTATAAA